TATTTATTTTTATTTAGACAAAATAATGCGAAACAAATTACGGAAAACATTAGGTCTTATTAAATTACGATATCTGTATATATGTATACCTTGCTAATATGTTATAAAAAGTCGGATAAGCAATGTCAAACTAGAAATCATCTGATAAAATCTTTATTAGCGATTTCTCAAAATTTTACTTTTTTGAATTATGTCATTCTTGTCGCAAATGAGCGATATATGCGTAGAAATCATATTTTAAAATTTCTATTAATGTTAACTTGAAGAAATACACAATAATATGTTTCATTTAATTTGTATAAATGTATTATAAAGCATTTTTATCAAGAACATTTGTTCGGAACACACTGTAACTGTAATCGAACGAAGGTAAAATTTTGGCATAAATTGGTAACACTTATTTGACAGTTGCGGTGTTGACACTTTTTGTACTTCATTATTTTGAATTTTAAAGTGAATATCTCTTGTTTTATATTTCTAACTATCTAATAAAATCTGTTCTTTTTAGAACAAAATTAGTGTGTTTTATTTCAAAAATGTCACGTAAGAATTTAAATAGTCGTTTTAAAGAGATGGTAATGCTTTTGCAATAATTATGTAATCTATTTGATTTAAAATGGAGTCAGGATTTTTTTATACTTTGGCAACTATGTCAACTTCGATCTCTGACGTAGATAATGACGTAAGTCGTTATCTAAATTAGATGAAGTATAGTTGATTTTCCATACCATTGCCTTAGATTTTTCAGCCATGATGTTCTTCTTCTACCAAGACCACGATTACCTTGGATCTTTCCCTGAATGATCAGATGTAAAAGATCATATTTTTCAGGGTGTCTCATAATATGACCGAAGTATTCCAGCTTGCGTTTCTTTATTATATTGACCAGTTGTGTTGTTTGGTTCAGCCGTCTAAGGACCTCCTCATTTCTAACTCTGTCGACCCAGCTTATTTTCAGTAGTCGTCTGTATACCCACATCTCAAAGGCTGTCAAGCGTTTAAGCATAGCCTCAGTTAGGGTCCACGCTTCTACTCCATACAGCAGGACAGGAAAGATGTAGCAAGATATCATACGAACTCTAAGGTCAATGCTAAGATCATGACTGCAAAGTACGTTTCTCATTTTTACAAAGGCAGCTCGGGCTTGTTCTATTCGGCTTTTAATTTCTGCGGTTGGATCCCAGCTCTCATTGATATTACTGCCGAGATACACGAGTTTCTCTACTCTGTCCAGTGTGGCATCTCCGACTTTTATACCGTCATCATGTATATAATTTTGTTTGCTAACTATCATATATTTAGTTTTCTTAACGTTGAGTTTTAATCCATACTAATCACAAGTCTGTTTTATTTTGTTCATTAGATTTTGAAGGTCTTCTCCGTAATTGGCAAGGACTAAGGTATCGTCGGCATATCTAATATTGTTGACGGTTACTCCATTCACAATAATACCTTCGGTTGTCTCCATTAAGGTTTCCTTAAATATTTCCTCCGAATATAAGTTAAAAAGTAAAGGCGACAATATACAGCCTTGTCTCACTCCTCTTTTTATATTTATTTCATCCGACAGTTCTTGTTCAACCTTTATTCTTGCCACTTGATGCCAGTATAGATTTGTAATTATTCGTAGATCTTTATCGTCCAATCCAGCTGTTTCCAATATTTCTAGCATTTTGTTATGTCGGACTTTGTCAAAAGCTTTTTCAAAATCGATTGCACAAATATACACATTTTGCCAAGCCACTCCTAAACCCAAATTGAGTATTGCTAATTCTGTCCTCTTTTCCCATTCTTCTAACTTTTCAGTGATGTCTAATATTCTGTGTCCGTTTCTGTCTTCTAAACTTTGGGATACTTGTTTCCATTTGTTTCCAGCGACCTCTTTCAATTTCTTGTGCAGATGAAATGTATCGTGTTTCTTTTCATATTGTTCAATTTCATTACATTCTTTACTATGAAATTGTGTTTTCGCGTGTCTTATCTTCTGCCTGATTATTGCGTGGATCCTCTTGTATTCGTTTTTATCTTTATTTCTGACTTCTCTTCTTTGATCCATAAGTCTCAGTATTTCTTCTGTCATCCACCCTTGTTTTTTATTATGTCAAGTATTATTGACTGTGATCAATTATAATACACAGAAAATATTCCAGATATTTATAACTGAAATACATGTATATTAAAGTTCACTGAAATATTTTTGCCCGGAGTGTAAGGGAGAGGCTGGTACAGTGGCCACCTTTCGAGTAAATTCAAGATAACTTTAGTATAAATCATATTTTAATGAGTATCAACTCAAACAACGTTAAAGCACTTAGTAAATTAAAAATGTACTCTGTAATCCCAAAAAATACAAGTTATGCAGGAGTAACTAATTTTGTTTTTTCAAAAAATGTGGCCACTGTACCAAACTAGATGAGATAGTGGCCACAAAGGTAAGGTACAGTGGTCATTACTTGCAATTCTTCTATTTTTATTTATAATATTCATAAAGAAAGAAAAGTATTAATCCTTAACAAATATTATAAGATGATAAATCCGCTTTAAAAGTAAACAAATTTGCTGTTCGTTGTGTTGCTCCAGCTCTTTTTGGTTGGGTTAAAATGAGTTCAACATCTTCTTTTGTGATTGTGGCAGAATCTGTAGCTGTAGGAAATGAAAACTGAAACTTCTTGACCAGAAGAAGAAACTTCTGTAACTTGTGCAACATAAAATTTTGAAGTTTTCTTTGTTTGAAACCTCACGAGAACAAATGAATTCACTTCCACCTTTCGTGAGGATATGTATTCGTCAGAAATTTCATCTACTTCTGAAAATAGACTAACATCGTCGGAATCCACAACATCAGACAATTCAATGTCACTGTTACTGTCATCACTGGGTATGCTTTTTTTTTTCTTTGCATTACTTCTATTCGACTTGTTTGAACTATCACAATATCACAAAACATACAGTGGGTGATCAAATTATTATGATCACTTCAAAAAACTTTATATTTTACTGTTTAATAAAGAATAAAACTACATATGTGTGTCTAATAATGTGAATATAATATAAAAATAGATCATAAACACGTTCTTTTACAAATTTTTAAATATTTTTTCTTTGACCTTAAATAACATTTTTTTTTAATATTTTGTGTGACCTCCTTTAGCTTCGATGACAGCTTTGATCCTCCTTGGCATGCTTTGAATGTTTCTCAGGCAGTTTTCTTTTATTTTATCGTTTCTGTGCCAGGTGGCAATGAGTCTCTCAATTAACTGCTGCTTATTTGTGACAATTTCCTGGGCAACCCCCCTCTTCATAAGCTCCCATAGATTTTCGATCGGATTGAGGTCTGGGGAATTACCTGGCCACTTCAGTACTTTAATTTTCTTTTTTTCCAGGTACGATGTTACTCTTTTTGCCTTATGGCACGGTGCTGAATCGTGCATAAAGGTAAAATCCTCCGATTCGCCAAACCAGTCTTTGATTTGTGGCATGAGTTTTTTTTTTCCAGAACTTCAATATACTGATGTTGATTTATCATTCCATTTACAATGTACAGCCTCCCTGTGCCCTTACTGCTGATCACAGACCATACCATAATCTTGAGAGGATGCTTTTCTCGCTCCACTATGCAATCCTTATGATATTTTTCACCCACTCGCCTTCGGACGAAGGTCGACTTATCCATGAGTATCTCCACTGTAGACTCATCGGAGAAACAAACCTGTAAATAAAAAAACTATAAGATATTTTTTTAGGATAAAAACAGTGGTTATAGTGATTTAAACTTTAGTAGTGACGTAATTTACCTTATTCCAATCCTCAATTGTCCAATTTTGGTGTTCTTTGGCCCATTCCAGTCTCTTTTTCATCATTACGATGGTCAACTTTGGTTTTTTGGCAGGGCGACATGATTTGAAACCTTGCTCAGTAAGCCTTCTGCGGACTGTCATGTCAGAAACTGGCATACCAGCTTCACGAATAAGTCCCGTGAGGATTCTTCTTGGCTTCTTTCTATTGTTTACGAATATATCCCTCATTTTTCTTTCGTCTCTGGGTGTAGTGACACGCTTTCGACCACATTTTTGGGCACGCTGGTGAATCAGGGGTTTGTTGGTATCAATTTTTTTCTTGATATTGCTCACTGTTGCTTGCGCTACTTGGCATTGTGGAGCTATCTGACGTTGGGAAAGCTTTGTATTCAATAAAAGTGTCTTTATTTCCACCATTTTAGACACAGGGACGTCTTTAGCCGTACCCATTATGATTTTCTTCTCAAAAATCGAAATGTTTTGAAAATGTCTTTAAAATTAAACTTATATTCTTTTTTCACTCACAATCACCACTAATAAATTAATAAAACATACTACAAAGATAAAACGATACTAATCTTTCAAAAACAATACAAAAACATACAAATTCAGTTGTAAACTCCAAGCGTAAATTCACCACAATGTGTATGTTGTCACGTAATTTGACAGAAATGACAGTTCTAGAGCGGTAAACGTCAAAAAAGTAAGGTTATCAGTGACAAAATATATTGGCATACCTTAATCGTATATCAGCATATAATTTTATTATAAAATTTCTGAACAAATATGAAAATCTTAAATTTTTGTGACTGATCATAATAATTTGATCACCCACTGTACATAACATTTAATATGTATATTATTATTGGTTGAAAAGATGTTTAAACTTACCTGCAACTTCTACACAACACACCTCTCAACAGGTTCGTATACAAAATGGTTCTGGAAACGATGGTGCAGGGGTCAAGGGTAGTAAGCGACTACTGTGACTAAAATTGTTAGCTTTTGTACTAGATGGCGCGTCTGTATCTATCAAACAACAAAAAAATATTTAAAAGTGGCCACTGTACCTGACTGGCCACTGTTTCAGACTCTCCCCTACATGTTCATGTATTTAGAAAAATTTTTGGCAGGATAACATTTTGGCTATGAGTATGTATGTATAGGAAAGATATTTTTAGCAATCTTTTATTTTTTTTATAGAAAAAACATACAGTAGGCTTCAAGTGCCCTTCAGGCCAAGCATGTAGACATGTTTGGAGATGCGCTGTTGAACAGATGTTATTTTTTACGTAAGTTATTAACTCTTCGATATTTATTTAGCACACGTGTTAAGCACTGCACTTAGTTTAAAATCATTTAGAAATATTGCAAACAAAAACAACTCATACAATTTCAAAATATAATGATAATAGTAATACAACAGTTAACAAAATATTACAAAAGACTACTAGTAAACTGTATAAAATTAAATAGGGAATTTTATATATATATATATATATATATATATATATATATATATATATATATATATATATATATATATATATAAATCATGTTCGGAAAGATTTCCGCGGTTAGTACAATGAAACCTAGAGCTAAGATTAATATTATTACTAAAATTAATATCAAACTCACCAGTCTTCCGGGTTGAACCGCGTCGATATCCATTTTGCCGAGCTTTCGGCATCCTCTCTGATGCCTTCCTCAGGGCTTCCGAGGTCTCAGTCTCCCGAGCCCCCAGACACTACTACATTGTTCACTGATCACTGCGCTGTAGTAGTGACAGCGCAAGAGAGCTGTTACTTAATGATTAGATTACTTTCTGTCGGAGAATAACTTCTTTTAATATAAAAATCTATAATTTTATACAGCCTAACTTTTAGACACTTTTGATTTGACTGTGTAATTTGTAAGCTTATTTACATATATCATAACATAATGAACATAAATAACAAATATAAAGATTATGCTATTATGTTGAAACTAGATTCAAATAATTTTTGTTTGTAATAAAGATTAGTTTACACCAGAGCACCAATAGTAGCTTCGCTAGTTTAAAAAAGAGTATTATTATATTAGTTTGCCAACTAGCTCTGATGCCCCATCAGTGGTAACCGGAGGAGGATTCTTTTCCTGGGGTACTAAGTTCAAATACACTGGTAGAACAGAAAAAGAAATATTAGAAGATAGTGGTTCCCCGTCTAGGGAGGAACCGAACATTCAGCGCTCTTCTAGTGTTAGAAGAAAAGCCTCTAGTGTACCTGCTACTCCATCTACACCCTTACAGCCTCATTTAGGTAAATAGAGCGTTAGACTTTAGTTTTAAGCTATTTTTCAAACGAGGAGTCCTACAAACTTTGATAGTTTAATTAAAATGTATTAATAGTATATTTGAAAGGAAAACAATTTTTGTATATTTAAATGGTCATCAGCACTTGTGGGCCCTTGGTGTAATTGTTACATTCTTTTATAAAATATACCGTAAAGGTGTGATTACGTTGCGACGGCCAGCGTTTGCGACCCGCCATCATGTCTATCAACGACTTCTAGCCGTTACGGTTACACGTTTTGCTTAAATCGCCTGCGGTTGGCGTTTTGGTAGTCGTTTATAATGTTGTGAAGTGAAAAGTGGTCTTTTAATGGATCCAGAAACATTAGCAGCACCCATTTTGATAGATCAAGAAGATGATGATATTCGGTGGTTGTTCTGCACACGATAACCAACCCAGGAATTGTACAAATTGAAAAGGCAAGAAGGTTGTTACAGCATACTTATTGAAACTCATCTTAATGTCGATGATGAAACGTTCCGAAGCTGTTGGTGTTGTCTGAGGTACTGTTGTAGTTTGAGTCCCATCATCTGGTGCTTGAACATTAGTGATCAAAGTTAATATCTGCGGCTGAGCTTGAGATATTAAATTCTGGGGTAGTTTTTTCATTTTTAGAGCCATGCTTTTAATAAATAAATCTATCTCGTTCTCCTCTTTTGTCTGATTCGCTAATTGCAACTGTACACTGGACTCCACAAAAAAAAACATAAAATTTGGTTATGGTACGGGTGTCAGAACCCGACCATTTATTGGAGTTGAAGCAGCAGATAGAATGATCAAAATCGAATGCCTCTAGAACATATGTTCTATAAAATAGCTAGCGAAGGTACGGATACCAAATCAGCACTTCAACCGAGATTCCAGAAAAATACCGATAAAGGGCCCGACAACTTTACTGTCAAAGTTGTTAATTCGGCTTCTAGAATGACTGTTACGCCAGGGCCGCAATTAGAGCGTTGTGACTCATAATATCACTTCATTTTAGCAAAGTTTTTAGGATTCCTTTGTAGAAAAACTGTTTTTTTTTTATTTCTTAATTTAGTAGTATTAATTCATCATTAGCTCTTAGTGTTAACTAACATTTGAAAATAGTTTAAAGTAGAGAAATCAACGATAAAGTAACAAATAACTAATAGTCTTACTAAATATCGGAGATAAGCCATTAAAGTGGATAAAAAATTGACTGCATTTCAAAATATTTTAAGCTAAAATAAAATTTAATGTGGATAATGTACAGTTAAAGGAGTTTTAATTACGTATTATCTCAAAAAAGCTAAAAGACGGAAATTACAGTGAAACTATGAGATCTTAGGACCACTGGTATATTGGATTGCCACAATTATTGGTTTAAAAATAATATAATTTGCCAAAGAGAAATGTTATTTATGCTACAAAAATAACTAAAAAGGTAATATAGACTTCTCCTTCCTCATTCCACTAGAATTCTTCAGAATTCTCCCAGATTTTGAAGTAGTATGTTTTGTGTCCCCTTGGGTCTGTTGGTTATTTCATTACAGGACAGCACTACTTCAGATTTATAAACGATTTTAAAGCTAAAACGATTAAAGCTGTACGTCATCAAGGATTTATAATCAGCTATCCCTCATATACCTTTTAGAACCTTCAAAAATCTGTATAAGATTTTTACGTGAGATCGATGATGTTTTCACAGATTAGATCCAGAAATGATACCTGAAGATCACCACAGGATAACGAACAAAATTGAATTAGAGATCAGATCGAATTTATATTAATCAACCTAAGATTTAGACATTCCCTTATAACCGTTAAGACTTACTCTGGTGCAGATAGACCACAACCTCCAAGTCTAAAAAAATGACACAGGTTAAAAGAGATAATAAAATCCAAAAGTTATAAGGCGAAAACTCTGTTGCTTATGAAAAACGAAATACGTGCTGAGGCTTCAACTTCTATAAATCAAGAAATGAAAAATTAACATTAGACATGAAAACAACTGAGAATGTGAAGATTGTGTGGAGCAAAATCAAATATTCTGTCATAAAGATAGAACGAAACTCTACAAAAAAAGAAGAAAGCCACAAACTTGGATGAAGAAATACTGGAAATCATTGAACAAAGAAGTAAATATAGAACAAAATTAATCGGGAACAAGTAAAAGAGGCTAAGGAAAAGTGGGTGATAAAAACATGCGTTGAGATGGAGGAATTACAGAAAAAACAGGCAGCTTACATAAAAAAGTTACACAAATAATGAAAATAAATAAAATGCACAGACATTTTTGCCAATAACGAATTGTTGTGAAGCTTATATCTCAGATTAATTACTATTTAACAGGGAATAAGCCACAATTAAAGATAAAAGTACGTTTATTGAATTTTCAATTTCCACTTCGCAAATCGTTCTCAAAATACAAACAGTAAATTAAACAAATTTTGTTTTTTGTTGCATAGTGAAAAATTCTTCTAATAATTTAATTTTATCTGACTCATTTATATTGACAATTCAGACATACATTATGCATTTTAAAGTAGACTACTTTAAAATGATATTGCCAATATTGTTGAGTTGCGCTCCTGGGACGAGTTTACTTATAAGATAGTTCATTCGATTACATGAAATCAACTTTACCTTGAGAATATCCGTCAGAAAAAAATCATAGCATATAATTCGTCTTTAAAAAGACAAACACATGACATGATGACAGTAAAATTCTCCTGTTAGTGATTCCATAGTAAATTATGAGGGAAAAACCAGGAAAAAAACCTCATAATACTATCTCGACATGGTAAGTATTTGTTCGTGCATTTAATTTACCTTCAATAAACACAGAGAACAAAGAATTGCATTTATAAAATACCTTGTGAATGCGATCAGTTTTATTTAGGTGAAACATCAAGTCCATTAAATGTTGGAATAAGTGAACATCAGTCTTATATTAAAAATAGAGAATTTGATAGATCTCAAATATGTAAACACGCATAGGATAATGAACATAGGGTTCAATGGAATAATTCAAATGTAGTCCTAAAGAGACGGATGGTAAAAAAAAGAAAAATCAAAGAAGCGGCTTTAATTATGCTAAATAAGGCCAATTGTGTCGCAAATTCCTCGGCAGAATGTAGTAGGATCTGGTTACCAATATTGAAAGAGGAAGTTATTAATAAGAAAATACCAGTATTAGTAAGTCAGTAACATATAGAAGATACATCATTTATGTTTTTTAAATAACGAAATATAAAATCAGAATTTTGGTGTTCCTGGTTTTTCCCTCATAATTTACTATGGAATCACTAACAGGAGAATTTTACTGTCATCATGTCATGTGTTTGTCTTTTTAAAGACGAATTATCATTACGAATATCATTTTAAAGTAGTCTACTTTAAAATGCATAATGTATGTCTGAATTGTCAATATAAATAAGTCAGATAAAATTAAATTTTTAGAAGAATTTTTCACTATGTAACAAAAAACAAAATTTGTTTAATTTACTGTTTGTATTTTGAGAACGATTTCCGAAGTGGAAATTGAAACGTCAATAAACGTATTTTTATCTTTAATTGTGGCTTATTCCCAGGTAAATAGTAATTAATTTAAAATGCCACAAGAAAATAGCTTCACAACAATACTTATCTCAGGTAAAAGGGGGCAAATTCGTCTGTTATTTTATCAGTGTATTGTATCATATACCTGCATTCGAAAATGTATCTAAAATTTTATTGTTTGACTGTACTATATGAATACAGTTTATATTCTTTGACACATGAATTGATCTCTAAAAATTACCCGATGCTTAGGTTATTGTAGCTTGCCAAGATCAAGCCATTCAGATGTGGGTGGATCCCGAATGGAGTCTAGTAATAGTACTGGGTTGTTGTCTGGATTAGACAATAACCCATCCCAAATCTACAGTGATGTTGCTGCCTTAGAAACTGTTACCGAAGATCAAGAAGCAATAGGTGCTACTAAATTACGCACTACAGGTGAGTTAAAAATTTTTTATTCTTGTTATCATCTTTTAACCTGATTGATTTGAAAACTATAGTGGCCAGAGAAATAAGCAAAAAAAGTACCCTGTTTTTGACACTCGTCCGGCCAGGCAAACGACAGTTGTTTTGAGTAGTGTGGACCTCTGTAATAAAAACCTATATGTTTCCTGCAGTCGATTTTTGGACTAAATTAGTTATTAACAAATTAAGTTCAAAAAACGGAAAATTTTTGCTTTTTTCGGCTATCAGCAAAAAGTGAAGCAATTTAAACAAATTTTAGAAGAGAAGAAACTTATAAGTTATATAAAAACCTTCAAAATGGCGTTTTCAAAATGTTTCTATCTTTATTTGTTGCTTAGAAAGTTGTAAAATAAGTCAAAAATTTCGGTTTTTTATAAATGTTAATATTTTTTTTGAAAATAAACTTATAGTATTTATATTTCATGTAATGATATGTCTTGTAGTGCATAAAATAGGGTTAAAATTTCAAAGTGATCGGTCCAATAGTTTAAAAGTTATTTTATTTGTTTATCCCAAATTAACATTTTTTGCAAAAATATAAGTCAGAAATTTATACAGTTTTAGAAATTGTAAGATTTGTTTCTGGTAGTAGAAGACTTGTTTTATTATTTACATTAAAAAAAATTAAGAAAATTAATTTTAAATATTGCAAAATAATTTTGCAAAAACATGTCGATTTTTTGCTTATAAACAATTAGAATAACTTTTTAACCATTGACTGTAAAAATATTATTTTTACACATTTAAAAAGCTTGAATTTTTTCACAAATTTAAATAAAAAAAAGTTTGTCCTAAAATAATTTGGTACAAAATTAGCCTCTTTTTTTATTTAATTCATAGCACCTTTGTTTATAACAATTAAGAAATCTAATTAGCGCTATTTGAAAGAATATACATTATAGTTTTAAACTACTGAATTTTAAAATTATTGCCTTTTAATGGAATCCTCCACAAAGCTTCAAAATGTATGTAAAATCCGTCAGCTTTAAAACTCTCGGGAGGTGAAGGGAGGAGGAAGGCGCTGTTAACTGTATCTCTGTGCCTTTTTTATGTATTTCAACGTTTCTTTTTGAACTTGTATGTACTTTTTGCGTACATTACGAATATGCATTATTTCAATAAATAAATTGTCAAATAAACCACCTAATTTGTTTAAAAACAATTTTTTTTATTTTTTTAGTAGTATTTAAGTTAAGGTTGAATGTAAAACAGAAGTACTTGTCATTTCCTATATTTTGGGGAATAAGCCACAATTTAAGTTTATAAGTTTATTTTTGATGTTTCGATTTCTACTTCGGAAATCTTTCTCAGAATGCAGAACATTAATAAATTAATCAAATTTTATTTTTGGTTACTTGGTAGAAAATTTTTCTGATAACTCTCTTGGGTGATTGATTAGTATGAGGAAACTCAGTAGATCTGTTATAGTAAAAATTACAAAAAAAATTATTGACAAAAATTGTAGACAGCTTTAAACTCCATATTTTAAAATTATTTACAATCTTACAGGGTGTTCTATAAGATTGTGGCAGACCAAACTATGTTTTTTTAAATGAAACACCCTGTATTTTATTTTAAATTTGAAATCTGCTTCACTTCGACATCACAATAATGTAAAGTTTTATTATGTTATACCGGATATTTAAAAAGTTATAACCAATATTACCTGAAAATTGTATCAAGTTGAACTCCCTGTATAATTAAAAAGGAGTATAGGTCCATTGATCTATTGCAACCATAGTTTTTTAATAATTGTTAAAAATTGTAAAATATATTCGTTTTCATAATATTCGTTAATTCAAATACAGGTAAGTCAAAATGCAAGTACATTACTTTCTTGAGAATTTTAAATAGAACACCCTGTATTTTAAGTCACTATCGAAAAGTACTAATATCGTACTTTACATTTTATGGAATACTCCCTATACCTAAAGTTATCAATTTTCTAGATAAGTATTAATTTGGTAGATATTTGAACTTTTACCAATAATTATTGGGAGTTGGTCATGATTGATTTGATCGTTTGACATTATTGTTTTTTTAATTCAGTAAACGAGATAACGACACAAAAAAGAAAACAATTTGTTTCAAATAAAATTTATAAAAAATAATCGACAGAAAATAAAAAAAATAACAACACATAAAAAAATAAAAAACAACTGTAATTTTAACTAATCATACTTAAGTAAGGTGTTCAAAATGACCTCCCAAAACATCTATGCATACTTGAAAGCGGTCATTGAAAAACATTACATTACTAAGCATTTGTAAAGAAATATTTTGAAATGCAATTCGGATTCTATTTTTTATATCCCTTGTTGTTGAAGGTATTTTATATACTTCATTCTTAATGTAACCCCAAAAAAAAATGAGTCCACTTTACTGAATTCTGGTGACCTTGGGCCACCCCTTAAGATCCATCTTTTACCAAACTGATTATTAAGTTCACCACGTACTAATTCGTTGTGGTACGCAGAAGCACCTTCATGTAGAAACCACATTTGTTCACGTATATTAAGTGGAACCTCTTCTAATAATATCGCTAACTGATGTACGATTAAAACTAAATAAATCTTACCATTTACGTTATATTTAAACAAATATGGTTTTACTACATGGTTACCCACGATACTTCCCCACACATTTAAAGATTATCTTGTTTGACTATGTGTTACTATTTGGTATGGATTACTGTAATTTATTTTATTACTGTAATTTATTTATTATTATTAAAAAAATTTTATTTTTTAATATTTATTTAAAAAATCTCTGTTCATTAATTTTTTTTAAGGCCCATTCACAAAATACTATTCGTTTCTGAAAATCATCATCATTTCATTCTTGGTACTTTGGAATATGATACGGGTGCATCTTGTTTTTAGATAGAATGTTTTGAACAGAGTACCTAGTAAGTAAGTTCTTGCTTATTGGAAATACTCCTTATACTTGTGAGTGGGTTTTCTGTAACTGCCATCAACACACTCATTTCGTTTTCCTCTGTCACACTAGTTTTTTTTCGTTCATGTTTTTCACAATTCACATTCACATACAATTTTTCAAATGTATCTTGTCTAGGTTGCCGCCTATCTGGAAACCGTTCATGATAAATTCTAGCTGAGAGTAATGAATTTTTATTGCATTCCCCCAATATCCAGATCATATTTATCTATCATTTCCTCAGTAGTAAAATTCATTATTGTTAATTTAAATTGAATAAATTATTGAATTGCTAAATAATAATTGTTGCTCATTTACGATGTACCCCAATACTGAATTAATAAACAATAATGTCAAACTGTCAGTTTCTGACAAATCAATCATGGTCAACTCACAATAATTATTGGTAAACGTTAAAATATTTTCAAAATTTATACTTTGATGGAAAAATAAAAATATCTAGAAAACTAATAACTTTATGTATAGGGAGTATTCTATAAAATTTAAAGTACGATATTAGTACTTTTCGATAGTGATATAAAATACAGGGTGTTCTATTTAAAATTACCAAGAAAATAATGTACTTGCATTTTGACTTACCATGTATTTGATTTAACGAATATTATGAAAACGAATATGTTTTATAATTTTTAACAATTATTAAAAAACTATGGTTGCAATAGATCAACGGACCTATACTCCTTTTTAATTATACAGGGAGTTAAACTTGATACGATTTTCAGGTAATATTGGTTATAACTTTTTAAATACCCTGTATAACATAATAAAACTTTACATTGTTGTGATGTGGAAGTGAAGCAGATTTCAAATTTAAAATAAAATACAGGGTGTTTCATTTAAAAAACATAAGTTTGGTCTGCCATCATCTTATAGAACACCCTGTAAGATTGTAACTAATTTTAAAATGTCGAGTTTAAAGCTATCTACAAGTTTTGTTAATAACTTTTTTTTGTAATTTTTACTAAAACAGATCTACTGAGCTTCCTCACCCTAATCAATCACCCAGAAGAGTTATCAGAAAAATTTTCCAACCAAATTTTCTACCAAGTAACCAAAAACAAAATTTGATTAATTTATTAATGTTTTGTATTCTGAGAAAGATTTCCGAAGTAGAAATCGAAATGTCAAAAATAAACTTATTATAAACTTAAATTGTGGCTTATTCCCCAAAATATATCAAATGACAAGTACTTCTGTTTTACATTCAAACTTAACTTAAATACTACTAAAAAAATAAAAAAAAAAATTGTTTTTAAAAAAATTATGTGGTTTATTTGACAATTTATTTATTGAAATAATGCATATTCGTAATGTACGCAAAAAGTACATACAAGTTAAAAAAAACGTTGAAATACATAAAAAAGGAACAGAGATACAGTTAACAGCGCCTTCCCCCTCCCTTCAGCTCCCGAGAGTTTCAAAGCCGACGGTTTTTACATACATTTTGAAACTTTGTGGAGGATTTCATTAAAGGGCAATAATTTTAAAATTTAGTAGTTTAAAACTATAATGTATATTCTTTCAAATAGCGCTAATTATATTTCTTAGTTGTTATAAACAAAGGTGCTATGAATTAAATAAAAAAAGAGGCTAACTTTGTACCAAATTATTTTGGGACAAACTTTTTTTATTTAAATTTGTGAAAAAATTCAAGCTTTTTAAATATGTAAAAATAATATTTTTGCAGTCAATGGTTAAAAAGTTATTCTAATTGTTTATAAGCAAAAAATCGACATGTTTTTGCAAAACTATTTTGCAATATTTAAAATTTATTTTCTTAATTTTTTTTAATGTAAATAATAAAACAAGTCTTTTTCTACCAGAAACAACCCTTACAATTTCTAAAACTGTATAAATTTCTGACTTATATTGTTGCAAAAAATGTTAATTTGGGATAAACAAATAAAATAACTTTTAAACTACTGGACCGATCACTTTGAAATTTGATCACATAAAACCCTGTTTTAAGCACTACAAGACACATCATTCCATGAAATATAAATATTATAAGTTTATTTTCAAAAAAGTTAATAACATTTATAAAAAACCGACATTTTTGACTTATTTTGCAACTTTCTAAGCAACAAATAAGGATAGAAACATTTTGAAAACGCCATTTGAAAGGTTTTTATATAACTTATAGGTTTCCTCTCTTCTAAAATTTGTTTAACTTGCTTCACTTTTTGCTGATAGACGAAAAAAGCAAAAATTTTCCGTTTTTTGACCTTAATTTGTTAATAACTAATTAAGTCCAAAAAATCGACTGCAGGAAACATATAGGTTTTTGTTACAGAGGTCCATACTACTCAAAACAACTGTCGTCTGCCTGGCCGGACGAGTGTCATGAAAAAATGCTTATTTCCCTGGGCTAAATGACGACATACGATAAACCATTGCATAAAATAACACTAAAAATTTGATATATGGAACACTTTCCAAATAGGAAAATTATTAGTAATCTTGATGTGTGCGTACCTATACTGGGTGTATTTACATCGGATTGAATGTATAAAAGGATTTACATCGGATTGAAAAACATAAAAAAAGTGTTCAATATTTTTTCAAAAGTTCAAATTTCGTTTCTTTTTTAGTGTTAAAAGACGATTCAATGGACCGCTTTAGCGATTATTATTTTCGTGATTCGTTCGAGCACTCCTCTTCAGAGTCCCAATTGGTTGATAATTACAGAGGATACGAGACAACTAATCCATCACATCGCTCGAGTAGGAGTCCAACGCCTTTGTCGCATTCTCATGTCGACTCTGGAAGAATATACTTACCTAGTGCAGCTCAGTCAATCCCACCACCTGTCAAAAAACCCAAGAAGTTTAATATTTTAGGAGCTTTTATACCTTCTTTAGTTATAGTTTTGGTATTGGCTCTTATATCTACGATAATTGTCCTTGAAAGTGACTGGGAGTTTTTCAATAGTGTTAGGAATGTTCCAGAGATAATGTCGCTTAAATATCAAGTTTACGAACCCATTAAGCAGTACTGGAGAAGTAAAATCAGCCTTCTGTTTTGAGCTCAGGTTTCTTGGCATAACTATATAAGATCTCATTTATATGAATACTTTTGAGGGATCCAGGTGTTGGATTGCACAGAGAACTATTTAAAAAAAAGATAGTCCCATTCTGCTATGACCATCGAGTACCAATTTAATTTAGTACAGGTCAGAATACAAGGAACTTAATGTAAATGGTCTTAAGGATATTTTTTAATTATTAAGGTTAAGAAATAGCTGAATTACATTAGCTTTCTTTTTATAGTTATATAAATAAATATGTTTAAATTGTCAACGCTACTTCCAACAACGACAAGTGATCGAAACTCTTTTCTATCTATCATATATGAAAAGTGAATAGACAATGAAACGTTTAAAATCTTGAATTTTATATATATGACGCAGTACAAATTGTTTTAAATGATCTATATTCTACTTATATTATGTTCTGAACATTCTGACCACCTATTTGTTGCACCTATTTCTGCACTATAATCTAATTTTATTTTCATGGTAACGAGTGTTTCCTTATATTTGAAAACTTTAACGAACTTTTAACAAACGAATCTACTACTGTATCGTCCAAATGGTCATCAGAGGCAAATTCCTATCAAACGGTGACAATTTGAATCTTAAGTGATGTGCCCATTGTTGCTTCACTATGGGACCTGGATCTACTGAGTTCCTTTCTGTCTCAGTTAGTGATAGATCTGTCATTTATGCTTTGTAATTGTTTGATATTCTTCCCTAGCGTTTACATTTTTGTGTATTTTATCGAATTTTTCTTCATTCATTTTAGGAATGAATGTTTTAGCTTCTTTAGTCTTATCTGATTTTTTTTTAATTTCTGGGAAATATTCTCGAATTTCCCATCGATATTTTAGCAACTTCATTGATTATGTTAGATGCTTTATCGATTTTTCTCATGCCAGCTTTATAACTGGAACATTGTGTTATGTATTAATCAGACGTGAAAATTTAACATTTATTCAAGAACGACTAACAAGCATGGATCACCATTATAATCAAGAAAAAGTACTATCTGAAATATCAAAACTCTCTAAACTAGACGAATGACAGCTGTCAAAACTACAGGACCCTATCTCTCGTTCCGTTCACGTTTACTAGTGACAGGGTACGTATTATCCATATATAATACATTGGTAATGAGCACTTATTCATTCGTTTTTGAAGGACCTTTTTGGAACTACTGGAATCTTCATCTTATTCTTCTAATTACTCGTACAACTTCTTCGTGATAAGATGTCTTAGCAGCATTGTAGTCCAGAATACATTTTAAAACATCAATCTGTTTATTATTTAAATATCTGCACGCAATTTAATTGTTTAGCGATGGTACTAATTGTAACGAGAATTAAACTTACAGTCCGATTTATTTGCACTATATATTTACTACTTCTACTTCTTTCAATGTCATTCCTTCAATTAGTTTAGGTGGATTTTTTAGATAATTCTAGTGAAGTGGTGACTATAGCCAGTGGTCAATGTCAACGATTACACCAAAGTTGTAGGTAATCCATCCGACCGTTTTCTGTACAGGTCTGGGTTCGTATTAAAAATTTATATCGCAAGTTTATTTATATTATTTATACTGCATGTTACACAAATGTGTGTACCTGCAGCAGTTATCCTTTTTTTAAAGAGTTTTATTATTCAATTTTATTAATAGATACTAGTATAGAATCTTTGTAGACCCTTAAAATATCAAACGATGTTTTTAATCTGTAACTATTTCAATTACGTATTAACATGTTCCAAAAAGATTTCCAAATATAACGAAACACATAATAAAAACTTTTCACCTTAGATACTGAATTTTATTTAATTGGATAGATCTAGAGTTCAGATCTTGTTTTTTAGTTTTATTATTGTACCATATATTTTATGCCATCCCAAACTGATGTATATTTATATTTTATTATAGGTTTTTGTGGACCTTATTACGTTTGTGAATAAACGTATTAAACACATTATGCTTGTCCATCTATTTATATAATTTAAAGAATAAGAACATGACCTAAAAAATTTACCCAGCAAACAGACTAACACGATTTTCAGATCAAAAGTTGGTACATTAAATTTTCACATGAATTTGTCGTTAGGTAATTCCATCTCCAGATATAACATATCGTTACCTTGGAAAGAGACCGTCATATGTCAAAATGTGAATTTTCAGAAATGGTCATTTAAAAAAATCGATAAATTTTAAAAATATCATAATACTTTACCCATAACTGCGAACAGGCTTATTGGCTTTGATGTGTACTAGTCTCTGAAAAGCTATAGTCAATCCCATACCTCTTTAATCCTATTTGAGGCCATAAAAGTTTTGAGTTGTGACGTTCTTTAAAAAAAAATGTGTTCGGTATTTGGAGATAATTCACTTAAAATTCAGTTAAAATTGTTTTGCGTGTTTTTTAGCAAATGTATACTTGTCACATAAAAATAAGAACACAGACACTATAGTATAAAAACTAATAAATACTGCCCTTATTCAGTAAATTATAGTAAAAAAAACTTGAAAGTTAATTCTTCATTTGAAAATTCATTTTTTAACTTTCCATAATACCTTCTAGTCATTGTTTTTAACAGAAGTCAATTTTAACACGAGTTTACCCCTAAATCCTTGAGACATTTTTATAATCTGAAATAATTTCAACTGGATTTATTATTTTTTTAAGAACGTCATAAGTCGAAATAATTTCTAGGTAGTGAGTTCAAAAATTCTAAAAGTTCTAATAATTTTCTAAAATGCTGACATACTCAAATTAATAATAGAACACATTTTAAACATAACCTTAACTTTTTTACGAGACTGTCACAACTTAAAATAATGCATTCTTCTTCTCAGAAAGTATTGTATTATCGTATTGTGTTTTTCGGAAAGGACGACATATCTCAAAATGTGACAGTATTGTGCAAAATGTCGAACCGACTTTTCGATTAACAATAACGACACTTCTACCATCTCACGGTCATAGGCATGAACTAAATTTATGACGTTATATTATAGAATATTTAAAATGTGTTCACTAACAGTCCATTTTTCACTTTTTTTGACATATGACGGTCTTCTTCCAAGGTTATATATGCAATATGAGGCTTCCTCATATTGCATAATATACATGGATATATTATCTGAAGTGTGCCCCTAATTCTTTCTTTCGCGTTTTCTAGTATTGTAGGACGAGTACTATAAACGGTATTTGTACATGGCTCTATAAAAAGAAATCCATAGGAGTCAATCCAAGTTCAAAGATTTTTTTGTTATATCATCAGATCTAGACAAGAAATAAAAGGTCTTTGAACACTTTTAAGTCACGGTTATTGTTATTTCCGTTAACTGGCAGCTAAACTATTTTGAATCTCTGGAGAATAAAAACTTCTGATAGGAAATAAATTTTTATTAATAACTTTGGAATTTAAACACGTAGATACATTTTATATCTCATTAATATTGATTTAATGATTAGTGGATATTTGATTATGGACAAAGTGGAAAATCATAGGATAAACAGGGTGAAAAGTTTTGCCTAAACGATGCTCCAGAGAGCTGGCAAACTTTGGAGGAACATAGCCTTGAGACGGTGTCTTCCCAGCAGAATTCCCAGCACTCTCCTGAATCTATAAATAAAAATGTAGAAGGAAATCGCAGAGAGGCGAACCTTTAGCGTAGTAAGGCAGCATCCTCAGAACGTATTGCTATAGCAGGGTTCCATATCCCCTTAATACAAGAGCCTTGGGCCAAATAAAAGGTCCAATCTGGGAACTTATACATAGCAGATCTGACTTCCAGGAAATAAAAAAACATGAAAACTTATTTTATTATTTGTATGGTCCTATTAAGGATGGTTCCACTTGGTGTTAGCCTTGATTCCCTAACAGCCTTCTTCCAGAGAAATGTTTGAGAGGAGGCAAGACATGTTGTAGTCCTATCTATTTCTGGAGGAATCTTGACATTTCTTGATTGAATTTCATTATTTGCATCTTAAGTCTACAAACAGCTGGTTGATGTCAGTTCCATATTTAGATTTCTTTCCAAGTTTTAGAAAGAATATTTAGTTGGTAGTCGAGTAGATTATCACAAAATTAAAATTATTAGAAAATGTTAAAAAAAAATATTTTTCAAATATTAGTTAATTTGAATAATAAGTTTTTTAGTATTTGACATTGTAAGCTTGATAAATACGAAAACTAATACAAAAGAGATCTTAATATAAATTCATTATTAGAATAACTGAAAAACCTGTTTGTTGAAATTTTATATAAACCTAATAAATATATACATAATTTAGTGCGTACATGTTTGCTGGGAACTAATTTTTTACACTATGTTTGCAGTCTTGTTAGGCAAATGGTCGTGGATACAGAAATAAAAGAGTTTTAGTCTAGTCTCTGAATTAAATATCGCCTTATACAATTTGCCAAAATTTTACCGCAACTTGAAATCTTATGCATCGAATTTTTTATCACCTTTGGCATTTAAGTATTAAATATACATTCCAGAGACATGGTTATCAACAGTTTTACTAACTAAGTGATCTAAATATTTTGTTCATAATTTATTACTTGTTTATTACTATTTTTAAAAGGTTATAATAATATTTAGAACTTATTGTTTTACCAGTTTGCCAGTAATCCATAAATCAAAATTCCTTTCGCATCATAAAAAACTGATACTAACACCTTATTGGCCGAATTCTAGACACGAACTCCTTTTGGAGCCGAAGAACCAGGTGCACACCACTCTTTAGCCTCTTGTTTTGATTCAGGATTATGGTGATAGACCCAAGTCTCATCCATAGTGATTAATCGATGCACAAAATTTACTTTATCATTTTGAAACGCTCTAAATGTTGCTGAGAAAGTCGCATTCGAATGTGTTTTGTTCCATTGTTAGCTAATGCGGCACCCATTGTGAAAACAGCTTTCTGAAACCCAATACTTCAGTCAAAATATTGCTTACACTGTTCAATGAGATGCCCAGGGCTTCTACTAAA